TTTTTTTTTGTGGTATGTGGGCCTCTCACTGTTGTGGCCTCTTCCCGTTGCGGAGCACAGGCTCCGGACGCGCAGGCTCAGCGGCCATGGCTCACGGGCCCAGCCGCTCCGCGGCACGTGGGATCTTCCCGGACCGGGGCACGAACCCGTGTCCCCTGCATCGGCAGGCGGACTCCCAACCACTGCGCCACCAGGGAAGCCCAACTGTGCTTTTTAAAATGAAGCTTATCGTTACGCCAGTTTTTAGGCACCGTACCCAACTGTTGGTTCATATTGAATGGATGGTCAAACAGAAAATTCCTGGGCTCTTTGATGTGAACTATTCTTAAGTCAGATTGCTCCAACCCTGCTATTAGACTAATTGAGCTATTGAAACCAAGGGCAGGGCATGTATATTTATTCTCGTTCATCTTTATTTTTTTGGTTTTGTGCCATCACTTCCAGCTTCTCAGGATATGTTTGAATGTTAATTGCAGTAATATATTAAGCATCCCTTTTAGCCTTCTGTTACCCCTAAATAGGATAACCAAAACACTAATAAAATGGTGAACAGAATAGAACTGAAAATAGAGTTCTGGCATACCATTTGCCCCATGCTGACACTGAATAATTAAGGTCCACTGTACATACTAGAAACAAGGTAAGTGTTTGATGAGTGAATATGTGATCCACTTCCTTTGGGGCATTCTTGTTCAGTCAACCATGAAGGTATCTAATTACGCTATCATCCAGCCCACCCTTCTCCATCCCAGAAACCTCAAGGATATCAGAGTTGGGCCTATTTTTAATATTTAACCTAAATGAAGTGCCTTCTACCCTTGCACTACACAGATCTTCCTGTGTAATAATTTAGTAAAGCAAGAGATTTGCATGTCAGGACTTCAAGAATCCTTGCCATGTCCTAGTGACCTCTCCCATCAGGTCCAGGTGTTCTGTCTTTTAAATGGTCATATGGTTTTTCCAGAACTGACACAAGCTCACCAGGCTGCATTTCCTCCTCTTTAAAACCGAGAAACCACGTCTCTGCTGTGCATGGACATAACATGCCAGACAGTCATGGGTTTCACTCAAACTGAGAAATTCGCAGGATGGAGGGTGCTGGGCAGAGCAACCTAGTTTATTGCCCTGACCTTGGAATGCATTTTTAGGACTGTATGTAGCAGATTCTAGGAGTGTCTTCCATTCAGAGCAGTTGGTTGTTATTTACAGGACTCGGAATCAGTGGGGATCATCTCATTTTCCTAACACTTCTGAAGCAATCTGAATCCATGTTAATGGGTGGGGGGGGGGGCTCTGGGGATTTTTGAATGATATCAAAGATATAAATATCTTCCTTTATTAAAGTCTGTTTTTTCTCCTGGAGATGATTGAATTATACATAAAATGTACAATAACAGCCTTTTTGAAGTGTATTTCCTTATAGTTCTTGAAGATGGAAAGAAACGGAAGAAACGGAGCATCTGTTACTTAGAACTGTATTGGGTCTAGGTGACCCCAAAGTAAACAGCTGAGTTCTCCCTAAATATTAGCTGCTTATCTCCAAGGCTCCATCGATTCTGTTTGCTCACAGCACCTAGTTCGGTTTCCCAGCACCTACTCCATCAGAAGAGGCTCCAGACGTTTACTTTACTTAGAAGCTTATGCAGACAAGCTGAGTTTCTCACACCTTGCTGTGCATATGAATCATCTGGAGGTGTTGTTAAAATGCAGACTCTGAAATCAGGAGGTTTGGGTGGGGCCTGAGATTCTGCTTTTCTAAAGCTGCGGGGGTGGGGGGGGGGAGCTAGTCTGAGGACCACACTTGGAATAGCAAGGTCTTATTGCCACCGAGCTAAATTTTAAGATACTGATGAAAGAGATACAAATGTAGACATAAAGATGCTTAAGATGGATGTATTCAGAACAGCGATGAGCAGGCAAATTGTATGTAGTAAACCCTAAATAAATTTGTCTCGATCCATCTTATTAATTCCCTGTTCACGTTCCCTTTCCTAATAATAATGTTGAAACCTATGATCTGCATGTGTGGCTCTTCGGTAACTTTGCAGTTATACAGTGGTGTGTGGCCCCGTGTCTCTTGTTGTGACTGGTACATCCGGAGGTAAACTCCGGGGCCCAGGTGAACCACTGGTGCGTTTCAGCACTGAAAAGGCAATGAGGGACATGGAGACCATGTGTCTGCAGCTAGAAAGAGACCGAAAAGCAGACATCCACTCTCCTTTTTTCTTTTCCTCTTCCTAGTCTCTTTCTCTCTCCCTTTCTTTTCCCTGCTGTACTTTGCACCTTCACAATTTACCTCTCTGTTCTTTTAATTTATGAACTACCATCCAATGTACCAGGGACATGGTGGCGCCCTGTGGCGCCCTCTCGTGGTTCACTGAAAATACAGCAAGATACAGTCCCTATCCTCACGATGATTTCCCCTGATGAGAGATACAGACAGTATAGAGAGCTAATGAAACACAGAGAAAGGGACACATGCCCCAGAATTAGAGAGACCCGACTCCTCCAAGCTGCGCTGGTAAATAGGAGACAAGTTCCTCCTAAAGGTAGGAGAAGGGAGTGTTGAAATTTCTATCAGTTTGGCCCCAGGTCGCTCCAGTTAATCTTTGTATCCTTGATTTATCATTTGTATTATCTGGAAAAGATGTTTATCAGTGGACAGCTTTTCAGAAGAGTACATTTGAATTTGTGTGGTAAGGCCGATATGGTCCTAGTTGGTCCATTAGCAGAAGACCAGCCATGGAACCTATACTGAGATCTTTAGGGCCAACTGAGTCAGCCAGTGTCTTTCAAAAAACAACACAGTGTAACTAAACCAAGGCACTGCCGAGAACCAAGTCAGCATTCGTATTCAAATTCACTAAAGCTGAGTTCTCTTTTTAAAAGTACCTTCAGAGGGGTTTTCTAGGTTTGCGTATGGTACATTCGGTTGTACAGCAGTTTTACATTTGCATTGCTAATGGACCTCTTTCTGAATGCATTTGACATTTTACTTGGCTTTGAAAGGACTTTTATGCCGCTATTTTTTCTTCCCTAGAGCTGCCTTGGGCTAATTAACCTATTGCCTTACTGGCTGGGCCTACTATATTCTCATTCCGGATTCTGACACACTACTCCTGCATGAACTTCCCTAATGAAATCCTGTGGGGTTTTATTGGATCAGTGCTGCTGTGGAGCCAGCAGGGGGCGCATGGAACAGTTCACATTGAGTCCATCTCCTAAATGACTTTCCTTTACTAGTCTGTGTGGGAACAGAGTTTATGCAGTTCTTTCTTAGGGTGACTTAAAACCTAGAGATAAAAGATCAGTATCAGTACTTTTAAAGTAGTCAAAAGGGGAAGCTGTTTTCAGTTTTCGTAGTTTAATTTTATTCTATCATTGTTTTGAAAATAGCAGGGTCATCTTAATCTATTTGCACATATTGGGTGTAAATTACGTGCCATGCATTTCATAAGAGAAGGCTATACAGAATGGAGTTATCTGGGACTTACAAAGCCCTAGGTCGGGGAGGGTAGTGCTGAAAACTGCTGCCTTAACTGTGTCTGTTTTAACATCAGACTATAGAAAAGCAGGTCTGTGTAGGAGAAATGCTAAAAACCCAGGGCCTGGAATTCCCAGAGCCTGATGCACGGCTTCCCAGGGTCACAGCGCGTGACATGGCTCACGGCTGCAGCTGCTGCCTGTAGGCGGCCCTCACAACTGCCGCCTGTAAGCCTGGTCCCTGTTGGTTCCATTGATGATCTGCCTCTTGCCAGGTGGGCATCTGTCTGCCTACACAGTCATGGTAACAGAGTTCTGTGGTTCCTGAAAGACTGAGATTAGGTGTCCATGAAAACTGGCTCCAGGCTCACTACTTGTATGTCCAGGTTGAAACACTCAGGCCTGATTGGTCCAGCAGAGGTTTCATCTCTAGGGTTGAGGGTGGATTGGCCCTTTATGGAGCGTGTGGAGAGAAAGTTCAAAGACCACTTGGAAAGGAAGTAAGAGGCAGAGGTAAAGCAAGCATAAAGTCACCCTCATTAAGGACACCCTCAATGCATCAGCCTGGTTATTGCATTTTTTAAAAACCATAACTATGTTCCTGTTTTAACTGTCAAACAGATTCCTTTTGGCTTTCTGTTACCATGTGAGTAGCTGTACTGGGAGTTGTTTGGAAACTTGTAGAGAACACGATTATTTGGGGCTCCCTCTGCTGAGGTGGCCTGTGTATAGTGTGTGTGCACGTGCGTGCATGCGTGTGTTAGGGAAGAGAGAATTGTTGTAGATCCAGTATGGACCCAGAGTCAGTGGAATCTCTGAGTAGCGCCTTTGGCAGATGAGGACTCAGAGACAAGGTATGAAGTCCGCGGAGGATTTCCGTTCCTAACCTTGTCCTCCCAAGTGCCTGGCTCAGAGGGTAGGTCTGGCTGACCTTCACCGGTGTCACCCACCTTGTGGGCACCGTTTGATTGCCCAGCGAGGTAAAGAAGAGCTAAGGCGTGGGAGTGGCATTTCTGGAAGGGAAACTAAGAAACGCATTGTCTACCTTCTGGAAAGAGAAAGAGAGAAGAGGGTATTGAGAGGGGTGTCTTAGGAGACTTGCTAAATCCATAAAAAAGAGGTTTTGACTTGCTGCATGTTGTAATGATCTTAATGACGTCCTAAACAGCGCGGCCGGCCAGCGTTTTACCTGCTCTAATGTGGGGGCGGGCGGGGGCGGGGGTGTGTTTGGAACTCACGTTGACACCAGAAGCTTAGTCTCCATCTCGAGGAGGACGTTGTTTTCGGTGCTGATGTTCTGATCGCCTCTCTCCTCCCTCTCCTCTTCCCCTTGTCCCGACCCGCTTCCTTTCCCCAGATTCCAGGGCGGCTGCTGGCGGATCGCACCCACAGGGAGATGATTCCTCATGAAGAGCCTGGATCCCCTACAGAAATCAAATGTGACTTTCCGTTTATCAGACTGAAAGCAGAGCCAGCCAGAGAGTGAAACGGCCACCGTGGAGGGGGGACGGCGAAAAATGAAATCCAACCAAGAGCGCAGTAACGAATGCCTGCCTCCCAAGAAGCGCGAGATCCCCGCCACCAGCCGGCCCTCGGAGGACAAGGCCACGGCTGTGCCCAGCGACAACCACCGCGCGGAGGGCGTGGCATGGCTCCCGGGCCATGCGAGCGGCCGGGGCCACGCGGGCGGGCGGCTAGGGCCGGCGGGGCCCCCGGCAGAGCTCGGTTTACAGCAGGGAATAGGTTTACACAAAGCGCTGTCCGCGGGGCTGGACTACTCCCCGCCCAGCGCGCCCCGGTCCGTCCCGGCGACCACGACGATGCCCGCGTACCCGCCCCCGCAGTCCGGGGCCCCGGTGTCGCCCGTGCAGTACGCCCACCTGCCGCATACCTTACAGTTCATCGGCTCTTCCCAGTACGGCGGGCCCTACGCCGGCTTCATCCCTTCTCAGCTGATCTCCCCCACGGCCAGCCCCGTCACCAGTGCGGTGGCCTCGGCCGCGGGGGCCGCCACTCCATCCCAGCGCTCCCAGCTGGAGGCCTATTCTACCCTGCTGGCCAACATGGGCGGTCTGAGCCAAGCCTCGGGACACAAGGCTGAGCAGCAGCAGCACTTGGGCAGGACCGCGGGGCTCCTGCCCCCCGGGTCCCCACCACCCACCCAGCAGAACCAGTACATGCACATCTCCAGCTCTCCGCAGAGCGCCGCGCGCCCGGCCTCCCCGCCGGCCATCCCCGTCCACCTGCACCCGCACCAGACGATGATCCCGCACACGCTCACCCTGGGGCCCTCCCCTCAGGTCGTCGTGCAGTACACCGACTCCGGCAGCCACTTTGTCACCCGCGAGGCCACCAAGAAAGCCGAGAGCAGCCGGCTGCAGCAGGGCGTGCAGGCCAAGGAGATCCTGAACGGGGAGATGGAGAAGGGCCGCAGGTACGGGGCGCCCACCGCGGCCGACCTGGGCCTGGTGAAGGCGGGCGGCAAGGCCGTTCCCCACCCGTACGAGTCCAGGCACGTGGTGGTCCACCCCAGCCCTGCCGACTACGGCAGCCGCGATTCCTCCGGGGTGCGGGCCTCTGTGATGGTCCTGCCCAACAGTAGCACCCCTGCCGCCGACCTGGAGGTGCAGCAGGTCACCCACCGAGAGGCCTCCCCTTCCGCCCTCAGCGACAAAAGCGGCCTGCACCTAGGGAAGCCCGGGCACCGATCCTATGCGCTGTCTCCCCAGCAGGCCCTGGGCCCCGAAGGCGTGAAGGCTGCTGCCGTCGCCACGCTGTCCCCCCACACGGTCATTCAGACCACACACAGTGCTTCGGAGCCCCTCCCGGTTGGACTGCCGGCCACAGCCTTCTACGCAGGGACTCAGCCGCCCGTCATCGGCTACCTGAGCAGCCAGCAGCAAGCGATCACCTACGCCGGCGGCCTGCCCCCGCACCTGGTCCTCCCCGGCACCCAGCCCCTGCTCATCCCTGTGGGCAGTGCTGACATGGAGGGGTCGGGTGCGGCCTCGGCCATCGTCACGTCGTCGCCCCAGTTTGCTGCAGTGCCTCACACGTTCGTCACCACCGCCCTTCCCAAGAGCGAGAACTTCAGCCCCGAGGCCCTGGTCACGCAGGCCGCCTACCCAGCCATGGTGCAGGCGCAGATCCACCTGCCCGTGGTGCAGTCGGTGGCGTCCCCTGCAGCCGCGCCCCCTACGCTGCCTCCTTACTTCATGAAAGGCTCCATCATCCAACTGGCCAACGGGGAGCTGAAGAAGGTGGAGGACTTAAAAACGGAAGACTTCATCCAGAGTGCAGAGATCAGCAACGACCTGAAGATCGACTCCAGCACTGTGGAGAGGATCGAGGACAGCCACAGCCCGGGCGTCGCCGTCATACAGTTCGCTGTCGGGGATCACCGAGCACAGGTAACGTTCATCCGGATCACACAGGTAGGGGGACACCCCGCCGCACCACCTTCATCGCTTCCCGGCACGGTGGATTTCTTCCAAGAGGCAGACCTGTCAGTGGCTGTGGGGATGATTGAGGGTTTTCGTTTATACCCGGAAGTTAGACTCGTCACGTTTCCCAACCACGCTCTCTAAGAGAATTAAGCCCTCGTACACCAAAGCACCTGCTGTTTGTAATGAATTAACTTCTCTGTGTCTAGAGTGGGGCTGGTCAGGTACCATTCTTGGGACAATTAAGAAGATTGCCACTCAAGTTATTTTTTTGTTCTGTGGTTTAGATGAGGAACCCTGATTAAGAAAAGTCATCTCTTCCCCTCCCCCCCCTCTTTTGGTCAGGAAAAGACAGTGCTGGTTAAGGTGAGAACGTTAAATGCCCAGAGTGACCATACCCCATTACACGTCTTTGTTGTAAAATGCAGGTTTTGTTTTTGTTTAGGTATGGTGAGGCCAACAGATGAGAATACAACTGCCATTGAAAAGATAGTTTGTTATACTCAGATACCAAGAGGAGGGTTTGTGCCGTGCCATGCAGGGCCACATGGGGAAGCACCAGGGTGAGTCAGGAGGCACTGGAAGTGAGAAAACATGGGCGAGAGCCTGGATTGTGGTTTCGGGGGAAGGAGTGGGTGAGGCAGGGTAGGCAGACTTAGGATTGGCTAGTTGGAATCATTTCAGCAGGCCCTGGGCACAGGAGCTGTCCCTGGGTGTCTGGTACCTGGCCCTGGGGTGATTAGGGCTGGTGGATAGTGGCCCAGAGAGTGAGAGCTCCATAGAGGAGGTGGCTGGGTTGTGGGTGTTTGCTTTGCATATGAAGGACATTCTCCCAGGCAGGTGAGCTGTCAGCTATCTCTAGCAGTGAGCTAACCCAGGGAGGCACAGTCCCTCCAGAGTCAACAAGGCCCCAAAATGTCAAAGCATCAGATATAGAGAATAAAAGCCGTGGTTAATATAGTCTGCAAAGTCAGGGCTGTCCCAGGTGAGCTCCTGGACTTCTGATGTATAGGAACCCCAAGGACCAGCTGTAGCCAAGCTGAGTCATGTTAAAACTGGAACTATGATCAGCTCTCTTAATTTCCATGGGTTCCTTCAGTCTACTCTTTTGCAGTTTCTTAAATCACTTGAATGCATTTATTTCTGCCCATTTGTATGAAACGGCAGTTTCACTGCCTAGCTTGCTTGGAGTCAATCAGGTTTGGCCCCGAGGCCAGGAACTGCCCTGGTGGATGGTAGAGACTCACTCCCTCTGGGAATGGTTTTAATGAGGCCTTTTTTTTTTTTTTTTTTTGGTACGCGGGCCTCTCACTGCTGTGGCCTCTCCCGTTGCGGGGCACAGGCTCCGGACACGC